TGTGTTCCCATGTCAGATCCTTGAGAATTCTCAGTACAATTTCGTTGTTATGTACCAATGTCTCTCTTCCAGGCTCCCCATCAATTATAAACATCTTCTGGTTTCTCTCAAGTCACTTAGTATACTGTAATTAGTTACACCTTTTTTGCCTTACATAGCTACTCCTGGATTTTTGATGGTGTATGTACTGATCGACCCATCATAACTCAAAAATGCATTTACTATCCCTATAAACCAATTGTAAAGTTGGGGGGAAAAGATAATGGAAGAGTAATTAGACAAGAAAACAAAACCAAAAGTATTCAGATTGGAAAAGGAGAAAAAATATTTTCAGATGACAGGATCTTATATATAAAAAAAGTGTAGGCCGGGCATGGTGGCTCATGCCTGTAATCCCAGCACTTTGGGAGGCCGAGGCAGATGGATCACCTGAGGTCGGGAGTTTGAGACTAGCCTAGCCAACATGAAAATTTATTTATTTATTTATAAAGAATAAATAAATACATAAAATAATAAAAAATAAAAAATCTCTATAAAAATAAATACATAAAATAAAATAAAATTCTAAATAGTTTATGCAGAAAAACTATTAGAGTTAATAAACTGTTTCAGCAAAATTGCAGGATACAAGACCAATATATAAAAACCAGTCATAGCAATAATCCAAAACTCAAATTAGGAAAACAGTTCCATGTATAATGGCATCAAAAAGAGTAACATATGTAGGGATAAACCAAAATGGAAGTGCAAAGTTATATGCTGAAAACCACATAATATTGTTAGAAGATATAAGTAAATAAAAACTCATCCCATGTCCATGGACTGGAAGATGTAATATTATTAAGATGGCAATACTCCCCAAAGCAATCCACAGCTTCACTGCAATCTCTACCAAAACTTCAACAGCCTTTTTTTTTTTTTTCTTTTGGCATGAATGAACAAGCTGATCCTAAAATTTATACAAAAATGCAAGGAACCCAGAATAGCCAAAACAGCCTCGAAACATAACAAAATTGGGCCTGAACAGAGCAAAAACTGGAGAACAGCAGAACTTGTTCCTTCTGCCTGCCTGTTCCAGCTGGGACATCAATCTTTACCTGCCCTCGGACTGCGACTTACACCATCAGCCCTCCTGGTTCTCAATCCTTTGAACTCAGACTTTCCTGCATCTCCAGCTTACAGACAGCAGATGGTGAGAATTCTCCACCTCCATAATCATGTGATGCAGGTCCTCAAAAGAAATTTCTATCTATCAGTTGATCAATTGTTTAATCATCTATTGGTTCTGTTTCTCGGGAGAACCCTCTACAATGACTTTGGACTAACCAATAGTTTCTTAGATAAAATCCCAAAAGTACAGTCACCAATAAATAAATAAATAAATAAATAAATAGAAAACTTGGGCTGCATCACAATTAAAAACTTTTTTACATCAAAAGATAAGAAGTAAAGAGACAATCCAAAGAATGGAAAAAAATTATTCACAAGCTATATATTTGATAAGATCTAGTATCCAGAATACATATATAAAAACTCTTACAAATCAACCAAAAATGGTCCAGGCATGGTGGTTCATGCCTGTAATCCCAGCACTTTGGGAGGCCATGGCAGGTTGATCACCTGAGGTCAGGAGTTCAAAACCAGCCTGGCCAATATGGTAAAACCCCATCTCTACTAAAAATATAAAAATTAGCTTGGCATGGTGGTGTGCACCTGTAGCCCAGATGCTCAGGAGGCTGAGGCAGGAGAATTGCTTGAATCCGGGGGCAGAGTTTGCAGGGAACCAAGATTATTCTACTGTACTCCAGCCTGGGCAACAGAGTGAGACTCCATCTAAAATAAAAAAAAAAAGTGACAAGTAACCTAAATTTTAAAATGAGCAAAATAGCCAGGTGCAGTGGCTCATGCCTGTAATTCCAGCATTTTGGGAGGCCGAAGCGGGTGGATCACTTGAGGTCAGGAGTTCAAGACCAGCCTAGCCAATATGGTAAAACCCCTTCTGTACTAAAAATTCAAAAATTAGCTGGGCGTGGTGGCATGTGCCTGTAATCCCAGCTACATTGGAGGCTGAGGCAGAAGAATCACTTGAACCTTGGAGGTGGAGGTTGCAGTGAACCGAGATCATGCCACTGTACTCCAGCCTGAGCGACAGAGCAAAACTCTGTCTCAAAAAAAAAAAAAAAAATTAGCCAGGCATGGTGGCAGGTGCCTATAGTCCCAGCTACTTAGGAAGCTGAGGCAGGTGGATCATTTGAGGTCAGGAGTTCAAGACCAGTCTTGCTAACATGGTGAAACCCTGTCTCTACTAAAATATGAAAATTGGCTGGGCATGGTAGCTCAAGCCTGTAATCCCAGCTACTTAGGAGGCTGAGGCAGGAGACTCGCTTGAATCCAGGAGGCAGAGGTTGCAGTGAACTGAGGTTGCGCCACTGCACTCCAGTCTGAGCGACAGAGGGAGAGACTTTGTCTCAAAAAATAAAAAAATTAAATTAAAATAAAAAAATTTTTAAATGGGCCTGGCACAGAGGCTCACATCTGTAATTCCAGCACTTTAGGAGGCTGAGGTGCATGGATCATCTGAGGTCAGGAGTTCAAGACCAGCCTGACCAACACGGAGAAACCCTATCTCTACTAAAAATACAAATTAGCCAGGCATGGTGGCGCATGCCTGTAATCATCTCAGCTACTCAGGAGATTGAGGCAGGAGAATCGCTTGAACATGGGAGGCAGAGATTGTGGTGAGCCAAGATCGTGCCATTGCACTCCAGCCTGAGCAATGAGAGCAAAACTCCATCTCAAAAAAAAAAAATTTTTTTATTAAATGAGCAAAGGAGTTGGACAGGATTGCTCCAAAGATATACAAATAACCAGTACACACATGAAAAGATGTTCTACAGCACTAGTAATTAAGAAAAACCACAATGAAATACCACCCCACACTCACCAGGAAGGCTAGAATTTAAAAGACGAGCAAGGCCGGGCACGGTGGCTGACACCTGTAATCCCGGCACTTTGCGAGGCCGCGGTGGGTGGATCACGAGGTCAAGAGATCGAGACCATCCTGGTCAACATGGTGAAACCCCGTCTCTACTAAAAATACAAAACATTAGCTGGGCATGGTGGCACGTGCCTGTAATCCCAGCTACTCAGGAGGTTGAGGCAGGAGAATTTCCTGAACCCAGGAGGCGGAGGTTGCGGTGAGCCGAGATCACGCCATTGCACTCCAGCCTGGGTAACAAGAGTGAAACTCCGTCTCAAAAAAAAAGAAAAAAAAAAATGAGCAAGAACAAGTGTTGGTGAGGACAGGGAGAAATTGAAACCCTCATCCACTGCTGGTGGGGATGTAAAATGGTACATTCACCTTGGAAAACATGGTAGCAGTTCCTCAAATGGTGAAACATAGCATCCATATGGCTCAGCAATTCCACCCCTACCCAACAGAAATTAATACATCCACACAAAAACTGGTACACAAATGTTTATACCAATGTTATTTATAATAGCCAAAAGGTCCAAACAGCCCAAATGTCCATCATTCTGGAATGTTCTGGAATTAGTGGTAATGATTACACAATATTGTGGCTGTAATGAAAAACACTGAATTGTACACTTTAAAATGGTGCATTTTATGGTATGTAGTTTATATCTCAGGTAAAAAATAGAAACAAAAAGCCCATGGAAATAGGGGCATGACAAAGCCTCACCTCCCAGCCATTCCTGTCCTCAGGGCTCAGCACCACCAAGATTAGAACTGAGTGGGCCTCATGGAACGGCAGGGCCACATTCCCGCACTGTCCAACGTGACTTCAAGTCCAGTGACCACCTTCCCTGGGCACACAAGTCATTCATGCCTAGGAGAGAAGGTCTCATGTGGCTGTTGGTCACCCCCCACTAATAAAGAGCCCACTGGGCAGTGTTTCATATGAAGTTAACGCAAAGATGGACTGGCTTCCTCTACGTGCTCTACCTCTACATGTCCAGGGTGCATCTGACACATCCAAAAATACCTGTCTAGCCCCTACATGGTTACCTTGGCGACTGAAAGGTAAATATTTCTGGTGGGGTTACACCAACCAGCGGGGCATGTGCTGATACCTGGTGGTGTTCAATTACACTATGAACAACACTTCCAGATTCCATCTGCGGCTTGTATTAGTCAGGACAGGAAAGCAAGGCAAACAATCCTGACCTAGTCATAGCTCACTTGACCATGGAAAGGGCAGGCATGGAGCTGGGCTTCAGAAACCACAGGAGCCAGCCCTGACTCAGCACTTTCCCCTCTGTCCAGCCCCACGTCTGTCTCTGTCGGCCGGCTTGTCCTCTCAGGCTGCTCTCACCGTCACTGAGGGGATTGCAGCCCCCCAGCAGCCCCTCTCTCCTTATCACACACATCTGCCCTCAGAGGAGAAGTGTTCCAGCACCTCTCTCCTGCAAACAAGCTCCCTTTAAATGCCAAATCCAGTCACACGGCAGTTCCTTAAACAGGTACGTTTCTGAGTACCAGGCCAGCTCTTAGAGGAAACAAAACCACAAGTTGAGAGAAAAGGACTATGATGGCCACCTGGTCACTTTCTGCATGATCCATCATACTTCCAGGAATCGGGAGCGGCTGGACTTGGAGTGGAATAGCTCAGACCACATCCGCTGGAGGTCGCCCTTTAAGTAGGCCATCGTGAGGAGTGGCAATAAGGTAAATGGCACCAAATAGAGAAGGGCGGGCTGGGTGGCTCGGTGAATGCGAGACGCCACAGTAGCAGTGAGCAGGCCTACGAAGTATCCGATGAGGGTGCAGTAAAAGTAGGAGACCTTCTGCATGCGCCCAAAGATGTTGGCAGGCCCAGGGGCACCACAGGAGTCCCCACTGGCTTGTTTTTTGTAGTTGTCATAGCGAAGGACAAAACAGAGCAGGAGACCAGGCATCACAATGTCTCCGATGCCCAACATGGAGAAGTGGCTGCCGGTGGAGCTTGGGAAGACCAGTTTTCCAGGCAGAGACAGGCGAGGAATTCCGTCTCCGAGGTGGAATGCAGATCTTTGTGAAGACCCTGACTGGTAAGACCATCACCCTTGAGGTCGAGCCCAGTGACACCATTGAGAATGTCAAGGCAAAGATCCAGGACAAGGAAGGCATCCCTCCTGACCAGCAGAGATTGATCTTTGCCTGGAAACAGCTGGAAGATGGGCGCACCTTGTCTGACTACAACATCCAGAAAGAGTCCACGCTACACCTGGTTCTCCGTCTCCGAGGTGGAATGCAGATCTTCTTGAAGACCCTGACCGGTAAGACCATCACCCTCGAGGTGGAGCCCAGTGACACCATTGAGAACGTCAAGGCCAAGATCCAAGACAAGGAAGGCACCCCGCCTGACCAGCAGAGATTGATCTTTGCTGGGAAACAGCTGGAAGATGGGCGCACCCTATCTGACTACAACATCCAGAAGGAGTCCACTCTGCACTTGGTCCTGCGCTTGAGGAGGGGTGTCTAAGTTTCCCTCCCCTTTAAGGTTTCAACAAATCTCATTGCACTTTTCTTTCAATAAAGTTGTTGCATTCCCAAAAAAAAAAAAAATCAATGTCCACCTCTCAGACGAAAGCAAAGAGGCCGACAATGGGTATCTCCCACAGTGGTTTGCAAAAAGTGTTTCAAATTACATAGAACTCATAAAAATTTCATTCCAGGCTACAACATGTATATCTAGAACCTGAGCTGACAAAAATGTTATGGGTCATCACGGGGAGTTATTTGTACCTTTACTGTTTGCTTAGAGAAAACAATTCCAAAAAGCAGTACATCTATTGACAAAGCCAGGCATACTTCTCAGTGATAAAAAAAATTTTTTTTTTTTGAGATAGAGTCTCGCTCTGTCGCCCAGGCTGGAGTGCAGTGACGCGATCTCGGCCCACTGCAACCTCTGCCTCCCGGGTTCAAGTGATTCTCCTGCCTAGCCTCCTGAGTAGCTGGGATTACAGGCACACATCACCATGGCCGGCTAATTTTTGTATTTTTAGTAGAGATGGGGTTTCACCATCTTGACCAGGCTGGTCTTGAACTCCTGACCTCATGATCCACCCGCCTTGGCCTCCCAAAGTGCTGGGATTACAGGCATGAGCCACCACACACAGCCTTTCTTTCCTTTTTCTTTTTTTTTTTTTTTTTTTGAGCAGAGTTTCGCTCTTGTTGCCCAGGCTGGAGTGCAATGGCGCAATCTCGGCTCACTGCAACCTCCAAATCCCAGGTTCAAGCAATTATCCTGCCTCAGCCTCCCGAGTGGCTGGGATTACATGCGTGCACCACCACGCCCAGCTAATTTTGTATTTTTAGTAGAGACAGGGTTTCTCCATATTGGCCAGGCTGGTCTTGAGCTCCCGATGTTGATCTGCCCACCTCAGCCTCCCAAAGTGCTGGGATTACAGACATGAACCACCACAACTGGCCGAAAATGTTTTCAGCACAAAGGCTGTTTGTGATGTCATTATTCCCAACTTTGGTTCCAGCAGGATCCAACTATAACATATCTGATCCTTGACACGCAGCTGACTTCTTCCTTGCACAATGAACACATCTTGAAACTCAGAGGTGACCAAATAGTTAGAGCCCCTGTTCAATGAGAAATGTTCTCAAAAGACGTTATCTCAAAATTAGAGAAGAGTCATATTCAACCGAAAGGACTGACAGAGGCCTTACATAGATAACAACATAACCTCAGAAAGAGAAAGGTTTGCAGTGCTGGGAACACACTACAAGGTTTTCTACCTCACAAATTGACAAATATCTACTATGTATCCATTTGTATCTATATGTCATATATCTATTGGCCCTCCTCATTTAAAAATGTTTCAGGAGTATATACTGAGTTAAAGCCCCTCCACAGTTCTGCTGTGCGCAGACCCGAGCAGGAGGCAGTGATCTTCCACTGTACACCGGCGTTTCGACCTCACCCCGCACACCATGACCTTCGAAGCCAGTTGCTCTGCCAGCAGCGGGCAGGGTGGCTGGTGCTGGTGAGGGTGGCACACACACCACGACAAGCACTTTGTGACCCCCATCTCATGAGTTCCCTTTATCAATACAGCTTGAGGGAGGCATAAATAAGCACGACCTGCAATTTTTAGTTAAAGAGGTAATATTTAAACTTGGCCTTAACAGATGGAAGGACGCTTTTGGGATATAAAACCTACTTATGGTTTTCCCTGAAAGAAATTTCATTCATTCTGCAAAAGGAAGCAGTCATGTGCCTGGAACAGGGATGAGGAGGAGGAGCTTCCCAGCCCTAGGGAAAGGGCAAGTATGCCCGGAGACAAAGGTTAGAATCTGCAAGGTGGCATCAGGAAATGCCCACCTGGTGGGGCCCTGCCAATACAGCCCAGAAGACTCGGTGATGTAGGTGTGCACCCACAGGTCATCTACAAGGCGCCCAAGCTCAGCAAGGGGATGTGCCAGACACATCATAAAGATTACTGAACATGCAGCCCAGATGGGAACATTTACATGGGAACTGATTTTCGTGACGTGGCAATGTTAAAATTTAAACATTTGCGGTGAAATTGCCCTCTATGCCCATCCCTAAAAACACACACACAAATATACTCAACACACACGCCCTGAGAGTCAGGAGGTCTCAAGTCAAAAGTCTGGGGCTGGAAAAGAACACAAGAGGAAGTTCCAGCAGAGAGCCATGAAAAGTGAGTGAGGAGAGAGTCCAGGGAGACAAAAGCAGAACAGCCAAGGACACCGTGGTGAGACTGTCCTTGCTTCTGTCTACAGGAAAGAGAACTGAGTATGTGCACCTCAAACATGGTATACATTTCCTACTCCACAGTGCCCGGTATATGCTGGACACACTTCGGCTAAGCCTCCTCCCAAGCCAGTTTATTAGGCCCTTTGCTCCTCAAAGTGTGGTCTACCAACCAGTGGCCATAATGGGAAGCCTGTTAGGAACAGAACCGCAGGCCTCACCATGGACCTACTGAATTAGAATCTGCACTTTATTTTTTTATTTTTTTATTTTTATTTTTATAGAGGTGGGGTTTCACCATGTTGGCCAGGCTGGTCTCGAACTCCTGACCTCAGGTGATCCGCCCGCCTCGGCCTCCCAAAGTGCTGAGATTACAGGCGTGAGCCACCACGCCCGGCCAGAATCTGCACTTTAACAAACCCTTAGGAATGCTATTAAAATCTGAAAAGCACTGGTCTATACCAAAATTACGTCCTTTCAAAAGACAGACTGTACACTACATGTGAATAAAACTGTCATTCTGTGTACCTCCCACAGGACCAACAAGGTTCAATACACAGTAAAGCATCCTATGCTCTTAGAAAACACACTGTAGGCCAGGCACAATGACTCATGCCTTATACCCAGCACTTTGGGAGGCCAAGAAAGGTGGATCGCTTGAGCTTAGGAGTTCAAGACCAACCTGGACAACATGGCAAGACCCCATCTCTACAAAAAATGCAAAAATTAGCTGGGCACAGTGGCTCATGCCTGTAATCCCAGCACTCTGGGAGGCCAAGAAAGGTAGATCACTTGAGCTCAGGAGTTCAAGACCAAACTGAGCAACATGGCAAGACCCCATCTCTACAGAAATGCAAAAATTATCCGGGCACAGTGGCTCATGCCTATAATCCCAACACTTTAGGAGGCCAAGGCAGGTGGATCATTTAAGCTCAGGAGTTCGAGACCAGCCTTGGCAACACGGTGAAACCCTGTCTCTACAAAAAATGCAAAAATTAGCTGGTCATGGTGGCCTATACCTGTAGTCCCAGCTATTCAGGAAGCTGAGGTGGGAGGATCACTTGAGCCCAGGTGGCAGGGGTTGCAGTGAACTGAGATCCCGCCACTGCACTCCAGCCTGGGTGACATTGCAAGACCCTGTCTCAAAACACACACACACACACACACACACACACACGAACACACCCCAGAGTAAATGAGAAATTAAAGAAGTTAGCACCAAAGGTTTCTGAAATTGACTACGCCAGTTTCCATTTTGTCAGGACTAAACTATTCATGAGAATGTGTGGGCTATCCAGAGTCTAAGAGGTAAAGCTCAGTATCATTAGAGAAAAAAAACTACAATAAGATACCATCTCACACCAGTCAGAATGGCTATTATTAAAAAGCCAAAAAAACAGATGCTGGCGAGGTTATGGAGAAAAGGTAACACTTATACACTGTTAATGAGAGTGTAAATTAGTTCAACCATTGTAGAAAGCAGTATAGTGCTTCCTCAAAGAGGTAAAAGCAGAACTACCATTTGACCCAGCAATCCCATTACTGGGTATATATTCAGAGGGAAATAAATCATTCTACCATAAAGACACATGTGTGCAAATGTTCGCTGCAGCACTGTTCACAATAGCAAAGACATAGAATCAACGTAAATGCCCATCAGTGACATATTGGATATAGAAAATGCGGTACATATATATCGTAGAATACTACGCAGCCATAAAAAAGGATGAGATCATGTCTTTTGTGGGAACATAAATGGAGCTGGAGGCTATCATCCTTAGCAAACTAACAGGAATAGAATTCCAAATATCACATGTTCTCACTTATAAATTGGGGCCAAATGATAAGAACCTGTGAACAGAAAGAAGGAAACAACAGACCCTGGAGTCTAGTGGTGGGAGGAGGGAGGAGGGAGAGGAGCAGAAAAGGCAGCTGTTGGGTACCAGGCTTAATATCTGGGTGATGGCATAGTACGTACAACAAACCCCCATGACACACACGTTTACTTACGTAACAAACTTTCACATGTACCCTCAAACCTAAAAGTTTAAAAAAAGCTTTTTTTTTTTGAGACAGAGTTTCACTTTGTCACCCAGTCTGGAGTGTCTGGAGTGCAGTTATGCGATCATAGCTCATTGCAGCCTAAATGACCTCCTGGGCTCAAGTGATCCTCCCACTCCAGCCTCCCAAGGAGCTGGGACATGCCCAGTTATTTTTGTATTTTGTGTAAAGATAGGGTTTTGCCATTGTTGCCCAGGCTGTCTCAAACTCCTGGGCTTAAGTGATCCACCCACCTCAGCTGGGATTGTACAGGCATGAGCCACTGTATCCAGCCAACAATATAACTCTTTAGTAAATAATTACAGTTACCAAACACCAGGATGAGGAGCAAACTCCCTATATTCCAGTATAGTTTTCATTCTCCTTAAAAGACAAGCTATCACTGGGTGCAGTGGCTCACACTCATAACCCCAGCACTTTGGGATGCCAAGGTGGGTGGATCACAAGGTCAGGAGTTCAAGACCATCCTGGCCAACATGGTGAAACCCCATCTCTACTAAAAATACAAAAAATTAGCTGGGTGTGGTGGTACACGCCTGTAGTCCCAGCTACTTGGGAGCTGAGGCAGAATGACTTGAACCAGGGAGGTAGAAGTTGCAGTGAGCCAAGATTACATCACTGCATTCCACCCTGGGTGACAGAGCAAGACTCCATCCAAAAAAAAAAAAAAAAGACAAGCTATCAATAACACTTGTTGTAGTGCTATTCAACAATCTTAGAAATTTGGTCCTGGCTGGGCACGATGGTTCACATCTGCAATCCCAGCTCTTTG